GCACCAGTGTGCGTACAGCTTTAAGATCATGGGACGCCGGCGCCGGCGCCGGTGACGCCACGGCCGACGACAGGGTACGCAGTACGCATTCTCGATCGCAGAGTTGACGCGTGGTTGAGGCGCGATATTTGGCGCTTGGGTCCTTAGGTGTGCTTTCAGTGGTAGTTTAAATCATCTGACTATTGAAAAATACGACAAAGCCTCGATCTCCTAGACTCAGGAACACAGAATATACTAACGAAAAAGAAGCCCAAGTTCCTTGTAATAAATCGGTTCCATTTTCGTAACGCCATCTCTCGACATAGCTGACATTATAGGTTAGCCAAAGGGGTGCGGGGCCGGGGGGAATTGTAAAATACACTTTTTTGTTTTAATTATTTTTATTCGCTATTTGCAATTTTATTTTTAAAACATATTATGTGAAACAATCACATAATATGTCTTAAAAATAAAATTACAAACGGAAACAAAAGGAATTAAATAATCTGAAGTTTATTGATAAAAAAGATAGGCTATGCAAATTCATAAGTATATTAAGTATAACCTCTTTGGTATAACATTGTTAAACAAACATTAACAAATCATAACATATCAGATCATAGAACTAAAAAAAGTACTATTACATAAAAACAGGTGATACAATACTTCAAAATTAATTTTAACATAATATCAAAACCGAAAAATCAAACTGCAAACACAACCACACTTATCACAACAGAAATTAACACACACTTCCGCGGCAAATGTCCAAGAAAGACTGATCATTCTGATTGGTCCTGGTCCGGTCGTAGCAAACGTCGTATTGTCGGTAAGCAAAATCCCTGTCCAAAAATTTTGACGATCAGCGCCATCATCCGTCATAATTGGGAAACTTTTGCTGGAACCATTTTTAATATTTCACTTACATGGCCCTGCTCAGGAAGTTAAAGTGCCGATGCCGGTGGCATCGGCTTTATTTTATGGCAATTATATACAGTATTTTTAACTCGATTAACACAGGTAAAGTGGAATTTTAGCAGTTTTTAAAATTCAACGCAACAAATATTGATGAAATTTGAAGGTTAGGCTTCTCTTTGCCGGTAAGATTTATTTTATTTATTTTAAAGTACCGAAGAGGAGTTGAATTTTAGTGTTTTCTTTAAAATAAATTCTATTTATAACGTTATTCTTTCTATAATTGAAACTCCTTTTCTAAGGCAAAATGAAACTGAAAAAAGACAAATAAATATTAAGGAGTCAAAAATTTTCGCAATATTTAACGATAATGTGATATTTATGTGACGATATAAGTCTTTTTACATTGTCAACCGTCCTGTATATTGAAAGCACTCTCCAAGGACAAACTTTAACCCTTTCTTTAATGAAAAAGATGCGTCTGAAGATATTTCTTCTAAAAATAATACATGTCACTTTCTAATTAACTGAATTCGAACGTTGAAAGGTAGAAACACAAAGGCTGAGGACCGATTTTAACGTAATTTAGATTATATCGCTATGTAATTAAATAAATTCAGCCTAAAAAGGATCTTGAACAAAGTGTTTGGAGAAAAGTTATGTCTTTAAATTTAGTTTTAAGTTTAAAATTGTTTAATTTAAAGCCTAATGTATAGTTTTTTTTTCATCTTAATATAGTTTTGAGTACGAAATTTCAGAAAAAATGGCAAAGTTCTTTTTTTTGCATAGCAACTGTTAAAATTGCCTTATATCTATCAAAAATAGTAGATAAAATAGGGTAGATTAAATGATACTTTAACAGCGAGGATAGATTAAAAACTATATTTCTTCTCGCACGTTTTTAATTGCTTCCATTTTTGAAAATTTGTGTATTCCTTTTCATATGTTATTCGGGATTTAAATGGAAGTAGTATGGATATGGCTTTTGTCGCCTCAGCCTGAATATCTGTTGGTAATTATTTACTTATTTCGTTATGAGCCATTTCTGGCTCCAATTCAATCAGCAATCGACACGAAAGAGAATTAAAAAATATTGACTCAAAACTGACAACTAAAGAGACAGCTTTATTTATTTGTCAAATTACATAGAAACCAACGCCAACCCAGCACAATATTTTGTCTACTCGTAATAAATTCCTTGAAATAATAATTTCTAAATATTTTTTAAAACGTAACTCGCTATGGAAAAAAATATTGATTTATACACGACGATAAAATTGCATTATCGTCTCCCGAATCTTTCCGGTCGACGATAAAATACCTACCGTTTTATCGTTTTGTATAAAAAATAACTAAACAATAAACAAAATATATTATTATTATTATATTTGCTTTTATTAATAGGAACTTTTTGTTTTATTTTTATCTGTAGAATCACCCACCAAAGTTAGATACACTATTTCTTTGACACACTGTATATTTTTTTATTACTCTATGTCAAAATATCTCACACAATGATTTAAAATGTTTTTTATTTTACTAATAAAGACCTATTCCAATTTATCCCCGTTTTCGAAGTTATTTACCTTTCAGTGAATAACTTAATGATCTGGTTTAGGGTCGGGTCTTTGTTCGTCTCGTGCAGCCAATCGAATATTTTTAATTACAGGTCGATACCGCCAGGGAGTACAATCGAGTCAGAGACAACATCCCTTTGTCAGATGACAGTTCATTAACGAATTTGCAGTTTTTAATTAAGCCAGATGATTAAAGAGTGTTCTAGCGATAGATTACTTTCTTTTAGTTTCTTAGAAAATACGATTATTTTGAAAATTTGACAATAATATCTGATTTTTGGATGTACAAGGTGTCAAAAAATAGTGTATCTTTTTTAAGAGATTTAAAGTTGTCTCTTGATATTTTGTCGATTTCGGCCTCTTTGATGAGATAAACGCAATTTTATTAATTTGCCTTGATCCAGGTCTAAAAGAGCCTTTAAAAAAATAATATCATTAACTTGCGAAAGTTTTCAATAAGTACTCATTGAGCCCTCATCAAAAATATGAAAAAAAGTTCCTATAAATATGTGTATGGAAATGCAGAGTTTTAGAGTTACAGGATGTTAAAACTTTTTGTTTAATTAAAATTAGGTTTTTGGTAATTATTTTAAATACGATTGTTTTTTTTTAATTGCTGTAGGTTGGACTAATGGTAATAATAACTAATAGCAAACTAATTGAGGCTAATAGTTAATAATAATTACTTAATAATTCATTAGGTAAAATATATAATTTCTTAATTTTATTTTTATTTTAATTGTTATTATTTCCCTCATCGTGAAATGGACCAATCAGCTAATAATCTAATTTTTCGAATAAATTTTGTTTAGATAAGTGATTAAATCCCAAGACCAGTTTAGCCGCGATTATTTTTTCGGCTTCCTTTAAAAACATTGATTTACAACTCATATGTATGACTTAATAACGATTTTAATCGGTGAAAACCCCATTCGATATTATTTTCAACAAATAAGTGGAGAAAAATACGTCAGAGTTTGATATGTTGACATGCGAAACGGTCCTCGATGTATTGTTGGGATGCGTAACCAAGGTAACAGAAGCACAAACATTACTTACGAGACATCATTTTATTAACGTTGGCTAGAAGCCTAATTTAGTACAAACTGCAACGTTGTTTAAAATCCTAATTCATAGAAATACAAAACTAATATGGCGTCTAAGTCGTGTTTTATCCTAAATTGGGATAATTATAGTAAAAATATTATTTTTATGATTTAATTAGAGACATATGCCAGATGGCAGTGAAGGAAAACACAACAAAAGTATTTAAGTGTGGAGGATGTTTAAAGATCATAATTATTGAAACACTTTAACCGACTCTGTAACTCGTTACCCAAGGCAAAAAAGTTAAACGCAAACAACTTTATTGATAAATGTATTGTTTCTACTTTGAAAAATACTAATTGGCCTTAAAATTAAAGAAGTTTTAAAAATTTTCTTGAATTTTTTTTTTAGTAAAATGAGAATAATTTATTCGCAGTCGAAAAAATTGTTTCCGCGTGTTTTTTAGGGTCAAATATTTCAAGTTAATGTATTCAAAAAGCAGGAATTGCTATTTTAGGAACGAAACATTTTCTTATTTTACAACATGGCTGCTTTCACTTTGTTGTTTTGGAGATTAAGATGGAGTAGTTCGACTAGTCGCATACTGGACTAATAAAGTCGCAGTTCGGCCTTAACAGGTAGTATACTAGTCGCAAGATTGCCTAATTTAGTCATCCTAGAGTCTAGCTTGTGCCGCCTTCTATAATCTAAATAAACGAGGGAGTGGATAAACTATCGGTAATATATATGTCGATGTATATTTAAATTTAGTTTTATATGTACCTTTCTTATGTCCCATTTTAATTAAGTTTTTTTTTATAAAAACAAAAACAGCACTGAACTGTTTGACTGAACAGAACAATGAAGTGAAAATTTAAGATTTAAGGTTATGGTTCAATACAGTTGCAAAAAGGTAGTGACTCGACGTCCTACCAACGTAAGAATAAGGAAATCTAAACAACGTTGGAATTAGTAAAACAGACGACGTTTGCATAACGTTGGAATAGGTCCTGAAACTGACGTCGGAAAACTCAATATTGTCCAACGTTGTAACTACGTTGTCCGGATCACCTAAAGATCACTTAAGCAAAAAAGGTTACAAGACAACGTTTATTCGACGTCGCAGAAGCTTCTACTTTGCTGTAGTACTAGTCCAACGTCGGCACAACGTTATAAAAACGTTTAAATTTATTTTAATACCCAAGGTAGGGAGCTAACTATTTTTTGTAACTAATCCAACGTTGTGTTTAGTAAACCTGTGGTCGCAAGTCGTGAAAATGCTACTTGGGTACGAAACAAAGCAGAATCGGACCTTATGTTGATATGAGAAATAAATCGTATTTTTACGTGAGGAACCTCCCCAGGAAAGACGGCACATGTTTTTTGAAACACCCTGAATAACTTCAGGAGTTTTATTTACTACTTAAAAACTAACTATCTTCAGGCTTTTAACCATGATTTACAAGAAATCTTATGTTATAGGAGAGGCCATACGTTATGATCAAGCAGGATGGAAATTTTACAGGCAACGCACGGTATGAGGGGTTCTGCATTGACCTACTGAAATGGATAGCCAACCAGGTTGGATTTCAGTACTCCATTCAACTGGTACCTGATCGTACTTACGGCGTGTACAACCACGACACCAAACAATGGAATGGAATTGTGCGAGAACTTATTGACAAGGTAACAGGAAAACATTAGGTATATTGCTTAGCCAACTTGTTATATTATAGTCACCCAATCTGTTAAAAGGAGTCACATAATCTTACACTAGTCTAGACTGCATTACTTATTTGTAATATCTTATTTTTTATTATCCTTTTCACAGATTTTCAAGAAGAATCCTAACAGCTCTAAAAGGCTAAAAGGCTCATGAACTGATAAAAAAGACAGACTTGAACTAAAGTCGTCATCGTTCTTGAAAAAAAAAATTAGTGGCAAGAGAATTTATTTTAGCGTAAAAGAAAATATTTTGCCTCAAGAAAAACTCTATTAACTCTAGAAAACTGGTTCTCTTGAAAAATTCGAAAATTTCTCTTGAATCTATTTTCATTCAACCAAGTGCAAGTTACTTTGTTTTAAGATAATAAGAAAAGTACGCTAGAAAGTACTTCATTCAAGAAACATGGCCATTTTTCCAATAGCTAAATACTCTTTTGATGAAAAATAATAATAACACGCAAAGACGATGACGAAGGACGGTATATACAATCAGTCGACAGTTCAATCAGTCGTACGTCGCATTTCATAGGTCGCACATCATATTACGCACGGGTTTTGTTGCTTGGAATCACTTCACTCGGAATTTTGTATAATTTGCTTTTTAAACGCATATCGTATAGCAAATTAGTGATCCTTATTAACATGCATTTGTCATTATTTATGGACAAATTTTAGGATATATGGATTCTTTAAAGGAGTTTCTGAAAAAAAGGAAATTAGGGCATTTATTTGCTATATTTGAAGGTAAGAGACATTTATCTAATGCACCTGTTTAGATAATGCATGCGTGACTATAGAATAAGAATATAGGTATCGATTTTTTTATGCAAATAATTACAAAAATTTTAGAATTTCAAGTCTTTGTATTAAAAAATTCAAAATGTGACCAAAGCTTATAATTTTAATAATTCATTTGCTTTACTTTGATTAATCGTGATGTAACATTTTTTTGTAATTTGTAGAGTGATGAACCACCCCAAAAAATACCAAGGAGTGAAGAAGCAGAAATAACCTAAATTTATCAGAAAATAATATACCTCGTATCTAATATGCCTGTATATGATGTATAGACTTCTCTTATATCAAAATAAATTTTAGCTGAGTCAGTAGTATTCGCTATTGGTTTAAGAAAAGTGTCTCTTTAATCAAGAAATGTCCCTTTTCAATCAAGAATTTTTGCATGAATCAAAGAGACTATATGAAAAATCGTCTAGCAAGAACTTCTTTGCATATTCATTTTGGGTCAAGAGTGAAATACTTTGGACCGATAGATTCTTCTATTCTCTAAAGTAATTTTTTAAAGCTTATGAAAAGATAGTTAATGCTTTGGGCAAAGAAACGTCGTTCTTGGCCCTATTGAAAAGCGCCAATCTTTTGGATCAAAGTCATATTCATTTCGACTGAGAGATCCTTTTTTTCAGTGATGGCTTGATTGGTTATCTTTCTCCATTTGTTTCTGTCTTTCGCCTTTATTCCCCACCCATCCACTTTTATCCTTCCCAAGTCTTAGTTCTTCATTTTCCAATATACTTTTTCCATCTGGTTCTCGGTCTATCCCTCCTTCTCTTTCCACCTATTTCACGTTTCATTATCATACTAGGAATTCCAGCTTCAGCCATTCTTTCAATGTGTCTCGGCCATCTCAGTCTTTGTGCTCTTGTTACTCCCGTTATACTCGGTGCCCGATATAGTTGCTTTAATTCTTCATTTGTTCTTCTGGTCCGTATGTTGTCTAACTTCTTTCCTCCAAAAATCTTCCTCAGTATTTTTCTTTCCCAAATCTCTAGCCTCGAACTTTCCGTTACATTGAACGTCAACGTTTCACATGCATTCAGCATTATTGGTCGTATCATTGTTTAGTACATTCTAATTTTTAAACTTCTAGAGATGTTCTTGCTCTTAATAATTTGCAAAAAATTTGCTTAATAATTGGCAAACAACATTTTTTCTATAAACATTAAAATCGGGATATCCTAAAAATTATTATTATTATATTATCGCTTCGAAAACAAAGCGTGAGTTTGGAATGTATGTTTTTTTTTATTACTGAACATCGTCATCGATTTCCTTTTAGGTCGTTTCAATACTTGGTATTTCTGGTGCTTGCCGCCGCGCCGTGAGGAACTTCCTAAAATGACGGTCGATAACATAGAAGATAAAGATTCAATTTTGATTGTTAAAGTACCCGATACAAAAACAAACATAGACCGAGTCTTTACAGTGTCAAATTTGAATTATATTGAGATTTACCGAAAATACGTAGCTCTTCGTCCAAGAAATGCTACCAGTTGCAGATTGTTTTTAAAATATCAAAATTAAAGATGTGTTAACCAAGTGGTCGGTATAAATTGTATTGGTAAGATGCTGAGCGTGATAGCAAAACACTTGAAGCTGCCAGATTATGATGCCTACACTGGGCATTTTTTCCGGAGAACTTCAGCCACACTCCTTGCTAATGCCGGGTGTGATATATTTAGTTTGAAGCGCCACGGAGGATGGAAATCTTCGACAGTGGCCGAGGGATACGTCGAGGATTCTATCAACAATAAAATTCAAATATAAAATAAAATTTTGGAGTGTCAAATACCGGGATCAAGTACCTCTACATCAAAATTGGATAGTGTCCCAAGTCCCAAAACCCCCATATATCAAGCAAAATCAGAACTATCTAGTTTGGGATTAAATATTGGTCCGTGTACTGGTTGTACTATTAATGTTAATATTGTACATAATAATTAGAATATGCATTAGTGTTAAGTTTGATATTTGTTTATTTTTGAATATTTTGAAATAAATATTTAGATATAATTTTTATTGTTGTCGATCCAATAATATATAATGTGTTCTTTTTTTATAAATTGGATTAGGATCGAAAGAAATCAACAGAAGTCCTTTGTTTTAAATTTGTCGACGTTTCGCAAAATTTATTTGCATCTTCAGGACACTACAAAGTTAAGAGAGCAGAAAATACAATCAAATAAAAGTTTTTTTTTTCAAAAATTTAACAAACCACCCAAAACACATATCAGTGGAATTCCACACATACAATTGGTAAAACTACCCTAATGTTAACAATTAAATAAAATATATGTATATGTTACTCACATTTAAATCTGGACTTTCTTAGTCATATCCATTAATACACGTCATATCCATTAATACACGTATTAATGGATATGACTAAGAAAGTCCAGATTTAAATGTGAGTAACATATACATATATTTTATTTAATTGTTAACATTAGGGTAGTTTTACCAATTGTATATGTGTGGAATTCCACTGATATGTGTTTTGGGTGGTTTGTTAAAATTTTTGAAAAAAAAAACTTTTATTTGATTGTATTTTCTGCTCTCTTAACTTTGTAGTGTCCTGAAGATGCAAATAAATTTTGCGAAACGTCGACAAATTTAAAACAAAGGACTTCTGTTGATTTCTTTCGATCCTAATCCAATTTATAAAAAAAGAACACATAAATATTTAGTTATGATTTATTAGTTCTTCATTTTCCAAAAATCAAAATTCCAAAATCCCATATAATTTACATGCAGTGTGCGAAATAGGTATTTCGCGCATTACTTCGCGCACCGTGTCATGGCAACGTAGAAAAATGAAAAAAAGTGTCACTTCGCACATTGCTATCAATTCGCGAACCTTGTCATTTTTTAGTCTGTAAATTATATTACAAATACATTGTCAAAATATTCCATTAACCTTGCACAAAATAATTATAGCTTCATTTCGTATTTACATGGCTTAATATTCTTTAATTTCAGAGTCCTTAATAGACGGTTCTTTATTTCATTCTCCCAGCGATGGAATGCTCATCTGGAATATTATCGTCATGGTTATAATCTCTCTTATTTTCTCTTTTTCTGATTTTTTACGCAGTCTTATTTCTATATTGCAGAGGGCTGACCTGGCTGTGGCTTCCATGACGATAAATTATGCAAGGGAGAGCGTCATCGACTTCACCAAGCCCTTTATGAACCTCGGGATAGGCATCCTTTTTAAGGTGAGTTTTGTGGGAAAAATGTTAGTACAAGAGTAAATGTATAGCATTTTTTTTTCTATTATTTAAAAAAAATTAAGTTGGTTTAATACAAGAACAGTAAACTAATATACGTTTGCCTCTTCCCGCGCTTCAGCTGACAGTTGTGACGTCATTGTAGTCCTTGTCATGATAGTGTGTATTTTTAGTTGCCTATGGTAAACTTATAAAAATAACAGCTGACAAATTTTGAGTTAATTATTTTGTCAATTTTAAATGTGAAAAAGGTGTCTTTAAAGTTTTTAGAGCTATAGAGTGTATAAATACTAGCGATGGGAACTATCGAATGAATTAGACTATCGAATGGTTACTGAATGAATGATTTCAACTATCGAATGGTTTTATTCGAATAAAATCATTCATTCATTTGTATACTAAAGCACATGTGACAACCTCGCCGTGCAACTAAATGGTTATCGCTGAGCCATCAATGACTATCGAATGCTTTTGATAAAATGAAATTTAGTATTCGTTTGATTTTTGTGTGCGTCAGTGTATTATTAGTTCTTCCAAATTTTTATAACTTCACCTTATAAATACTGTGCTATTTTTGCGTTTATTAAAATATTTAAAATACTAAAATAGTAGTTTTTTTTTAATTGACGATTGTGTGCGTGTGCAGGTGTCAAAATTTTTCCGAAAATTTGTGATATTTTCCGTAGCCCGATCTTTCAATTATTTTATTTTATATGAGTTTTGGTCTATTTTTTAATGAGAAATTTTGAGAAGTAGCAATTTTTAAGAGAGATGAGATGAACTTAAAATTAATTTTAAAAATACATATTTGTATTTTAGATGTTTTAATAATATGAATTAGTTAAAATTAATAATCATATTTAAGTAATGTGGTTAAGTAAATGGTTATCGAACTCAAACTATGGGATGAGAAAATTAAATTGAATGTTTTACACGTGCCAATTTAAAAAAAAAGTTAACGATGTTTGTATTTTGTTTATGCTAATTCTCTTACATGTAGTTTTTTGCGAAGAAATATTTCATTTATTTTTTAAAGTAAATACCAGTAAAAGTAAATATTATTTTTAAATAGTAAATATAAAGTACCTAATATAAATAACTTTGATTTCTAATTTTTTATTTATATTTTCCTTGCATTACACTGCATGCTTAGAAAATTAATAAATGTTTATATTTCATGATTTTAAAGTTTGTTGTTAATATAACAAATTAGTTCTGTAATTATTATTATTTAATAAACCAACGTTGCCAAAAAATTTAAAGACTATATTATTTTTAAATAGGATCTAATATAAATAATTTTGACATCTAATTTGTTGTTTATATTTTGCTACTACGTAAAAAAATGTTTATATTAAATTATTTTAAATTTTGTTGTTAATAGGTATAACAAATTATTACTGTTATTATTATTTTTATTAAACCAGTCTTTACTTAAAAAAATTAAAAATCATTTTCCTACATCCAAAATAACAAGTATTATTGCAGTGTAACAACAGAATATTAATAAAAAAAATGCAAAATATATAGACATACTATCCCTAACTAACTAAAGACAAACAATAATATTCTTTGCTAATATCAACTAATACCAATATATAGCAACAGCGGCCTTTATAATGTATTTTCTGTGTAAATACTAGCACCTCAATAAAAAAAAATAATGTGTCCTTATCTTCATGACTCCGCAAAAAATCAAAGATGCCGGCTTCTTTCATAGCATTGCCACCGACCGCTGTCGGGTTTCTCGGAAAGAAACCTACGTCGCCGGGCGACAACTAAAATCCAGTTAATATTTTATTATAATCGATCCTCACGAATAAATGAATTTCATAAATGAATGGTTTTTGCTGCCGAATTAATAACCATGACAAGGACTACAATGACGTCACAAAGCGAGTAGTTTTCGCATGCACCTGGCGGACACTTTTGGCTGAATGAGCAGTCCTATTAGGTTAACTGTTCTTGGGTTTAATAAAGGATTACAACATACTATACATATAATAAATTATACATACTCACAAAAAACAAAGCGAATTTACGCCAGATGTCTGTCAACGTTGTAAACGTTTAGCCCAATTCAATGTTATCCTTATATTGCATATTATTCAACTTATCCTTTTATTTTACAACGTGTGGCAACCGCGCTAACTGAATATTTCAAACTCACTGCTATCGTCCAGGGAATGCTAGCAAATTCACTAGTAAAAGTTGGTTTCCGAAATAGCTCTTGAACTTTTACTGGCGTAGTCTTAGCAAATCAATGAATGTGAGCTTTTACTAGTAATTATTAACAATCACTGATTGCTAACTTTTACTGTAACATTACACGCAATACAGATGGAAAACCCCACTGGGTAGTGGAGTGCCGTTTCTATAAAAAAGTCTGTTTCCAAAAATACAGACAAAACTCAATAACTCTTTGGGCTTTTCGTCTGGCGTCAGGAATTGTTGTTGACGAACACAGTCGCCGGCGATCCAAAATCTCTAAAATGTTTCTCATTTAGGAAACTCCAGTTGCTGTTTTTTTTTGTGAAAATTGTTTGTTTCGTTGCGGTTTTGACCGTTTTGAGAAAACCTGCCTTAGCATACTCTTTTTATTCCCTACCCGAACAAAAATCCAGACCGTTTTGCTAGTGTAAAACAAAAACAAAATCGGCCACGTTCACGATCCAGGAATATCCCATTGGAAAGCTTCTTTTTATGCCCAGTTTAAATGGAAAGTCGTGTTCCAGATCAGGTCGATACTGCCAAACCGCGGACAGCACGAATTATTTCTGTTTAAACCGTATTTGTTCCGGGAAATACGACTGTTTTTTCCAGAGCTTGACCCGGCCAGCATCTAGGATTAGAAAGCTGCAGGTTATCCAGGATTTTCCACTAAAAAAGCCATCGCAGTGAACTGTCGGCTGTTTTGTTTTTCGTTTGGACTAGTTTACGGGGAGATTCAGTTGTTTGTGGCATCTAAATTCACGTTCTACAAAGTTATTTTTTTTTCGGGAAAAGTGTATTAAAATAATTTATATACAGGGTGGCAAAAAAATAGTGTATCTAACTTTGGTAGGTGATTCTGCAGATCAAAATAAAACCAAAAGTTCTTCGATTCTAATCTCCTATGCCTCAATCTATCAAAAACTAAAGTTTTGTCACATAAAAGTACTATTCAACCTTTTGTACTTAATAACACCCCTACTGACGTCGTGGACTCTGTGAAAATTGTAGACAACTCGTTAAAATGGGACTTGCACATCAAAGCTTTATCAAAGAAACTAAGCGCTGCCTGTTTTGCGCTAAGATCAGTTTCTAAAGAACTTAATTTATCAACCTCTAGAATTCGTCTATTATGCCCATTTTGAGTCGCATCTTCGTTATGCCCTTCCATTCTGGGGTACTTGCTGCGCAACAAAATTTGATCGTATTTTCAAACTTCAAAAGGGAGCAGTTCGATATTTATTGGGACTGAACAGTAGAATTCACTGGCAGATTTTTTTTAAAATTTCAAAATACTGGCTCTTCCTTCTTTATTCATTTTTGAATCCGTTTGCTTAATCCGCAAGCACATATCTGCTATTCCCGAAAGGCCATCTCAGAAATATCCACTTAGGAATGCGGAGCATGATCTTTATCTGCCAACTCCGAGCTCAGAACTAGTTAAAAGCTCAGTACTGTACAATGCCAAAAAAATGTACAATCATCTGCCTTTGAATATCCAGTCGCTTTCATTCTTTCCCGCATTTCGCAAAGCTCTGAAGTCATAGTTACTGGAGAGAGCCCTATATGCGGTAAACGACTTTTTTGTTAAATATTTAATCATGAACAATTTTGAATTTTAAAATTTTGATCATCTCACACACTGACTAAAAGTCTAGTATTTAATAATGATTATATCCATTTACAATTTTCCTATTGTAAAATTTCATTGATACGCTTTTTTTGTGTTCTGCAACATCCATGTATGTTCTATTTGTAATTTTAATGACGTAATTTTTTTTTAATTGTATGATTTGTATTGTATGATATTTTTTATTATTTGTATATTTTGCTATTTGTGCTTTTGTTTGTTTTGTAAATGCTTTGTCGATGAAGCTATTTTGGTTTTCTGTACAATAAAGCGATATTTACTATTATTATTATTATTATACATACGAATTAGAAGTAGTAGACATTAAGAACCGAAGTTAGATACACTATTTTTTTTATTATATGTTATACATAATAATATCTTTTATACATGTATTTGGGTTTAATCAATTATTAACTGTAACATTATAAACTGTTCTATCCAAATGGGTCTTGATATTTTATGTTTTAAGTCCTTTCCAGTCTAATTAGACGTTTTTTTTTAATTTTGCTGATGAAAATAACCACTTTGGGCCACTAAAAGTGTTTCTCGATTAAACTGACGATGAATAATTGAAAAGAAACAAGGTGAACCTTGAAGGGAGTAAAATGAGGGACAGGGTAACTTTTAATTGCTGCAGGCGTTGGATGGACGTATTTGATTTTGAGTATAATTTTAGGGGGAGAATTTTTTATGTATAAACTCTCCAGGGAAACCAATCAATAAAATTTCTATAGGCAATAACATTGAGTGGCTTATTGTAATACCATAATAAACCACTCTCAACCAGAAATCAGTTTTATTAACTACTAGTAACTATTGTTTTTCTTGCTTTTTACCAAATTCGGAGTAAATTAAATTTACGCATTTTTTCAAAACTGCGAAGTCTAATAATTCAAAATTATAGGTTTGTGTCATATCAAGCCCTTCAATTGTAGTATACATAAAACCAGAGAGAGACAAAAGATGTCTAGGTGATGACATAGATAAAAGAAATAAATTTAGGTTGGAAAGCCCGTCAAAATATATAGTTGTTTTGTGTCGCATACGTTGTACGGGATCTGGCGCTGCTATAGCGGTTGCTAAGAACAACCGCAAACAAGAACAGAAATAATTTTCTCTTGTCGAATTCAGAATCTTCAAAAAT